TTGTTAAGCAAATGTGTACGCAAAAATAAAATGTAGAAAAAACCTACTATATAAACATGGATTTGTAATTTATCACATGATGTACAACTCTTGAGACCTACAAAAGGCTACATAAGGCAACCAAAGGCTGAATATCACTAAAGACTATCCACTTAAACAAGAACATAACTTCTCTAGTTTGCCCAATAGTATTGCTTCATTGCACTTGTTCTATTCCTTTATATTAGGCAGAGTTTGGTCTAACACAGACAAAATATAAACATAAAGTAGTTTACAATGAAGACCTCATAAAGAATCCGAACAGGAGTGAAAATATCAGAACAGCAAATGTTATTAACACTTCATTTTCCATAGGTATTATTGATCCATAGAATCTTAGAACATACTTTATCAACCTACCTCAGAGGGATCAATTCCAGTATACAGGTAATTCAGGCCCAACCTGAGCTCCTCTAATGATATAGTTGCATATTTTAAAAGTCACCTTATTTATAGCCTTGGAAAGCTATATTCCTGGAGGATTGAAGCCAGTTCTATCTTAGAAGTTTCCATCTAGTGTGGAACAATTTTTGGACTCATAGACTCCAGCCTTTAACTGTGATGCTAATCAAGCTAACTATCCTCTCTGGCCCTCAATGTTCATCATTAACCTCACTTGAGTGATATTAAATAACATGTAATTTGCCTAACAGTGACAGTATCGAGCACTCACATGGCAGCCATATTCTTCCTATTGCTCCTGGTTTTGTTTTTGGAAATATCCTCATCTTTCCTCATTTCCTAAGATACAGCATTTCAATTTTAGGCATGACCTATTGTGTTCCCCTTCCTAAGACTTCTGATCTCAGTTCTTTAAAACCATTTTCTTTTGTGACAGCATTTAAATCAGTACTTTCCAACAACTTTCTGTGGTGGTGTATATCTGATTGACAATGTTAGCTATTAGCCGTTGAGCACCTGAAATAATGACTAATGCAACTGGGTAACTGAATTGTACATTTTAATTAAATTTTTAGCCACATGTGGCTAAAGGCTACAGTATTGGACAGCACCTATCTAGACACACTTTCCTTATAAAACAAGTCAGTTGTACCAGATTACTACATGATATCACAGATCATCCTCATAAGCATCTTAACTATTCCTTCCAAATATAATGACATAACTGTTAAGGAATCTTATGCTACTTAAATCATGAAAGGAGAACACAGCCTGTCACCTAGGAAAGGCACCTTGGTGAATGGATTTCTCCAGTGCAGCCAAAGATTAGAATTTAAGTAAAATTTAAAAATATGTATTTTTAATTTTTCAGAAAGCAAAGATTTGTTCTTTTAGCAGGTACTTAAAATGTATTATTCCCTACCAAACTTACACGAGAAATGATGCCAACTAAAAGGCAAACTATTCTTTTACAATGGATATTCTCTGGATTACCCCTGGCTGGTGTAGCTCAGTGGATTGAGCACTGGCCTGTGAACAAGGTTCAACAGTGCAATTCTCCAAGTGGGTTGCAGGCTACATCTCCAGTAGGGAGCATGCCAGAGGCAACCACAGTGATGTTTCTCTCCCTTTCTCCCCACCTTCCTTCTCTCTAAAAACAAATAAGATCTTTGGAAAAAAATTTAAAGTTCCCTATTTTATAAGCTAAAACTCTGGCCCCAAATTATACATTGTATCTGCACTGTCACTTTTATTTAAATCAGAGTTCTGCTTGTCACCATGAGAGAGTTGGAGAACAATGAATTAAAAGTAATTCCTGACTTCAAAAATAAGAAACCCAAATTACTAAATTTAAAACCCACTGATGTTAATTAGTTCAAATTGTTTCCTTAGATATCCTTAAACACTCCCAGTGTTTACTCCCTAGCATACCATTTATAAATGAATACAAGAATTTACAATGGTTTCAGGATTTCTCTCTAGTATGTGCTTTACATGGTATATTTCTTAATTCATCTTTTCAATTTAAAAAGGCAACAAGCAAAAGAGCATGTTATTTTAAATCTGTTGCTATGCAGCTATCTTACTGAAATTTTTGGTCAGGGGGGCAGGTAAATAATGAATTATAGATCTGCATTATAATTTAAGGAAACAGTCATTTGTAGCAAATACCTAAAGAACAGTGCCTCAGAAAAATAGTTTTTAGTGTTTCAGTTTAGTGACAGTAAACAAACCATTTAAATCTCTTTTACAATTTACTTATAGTTCTTTGACTTTAAGTAGATAAGATTCATATATTATTTTAAAATTAATATAATTTGCAAACCCCAGGACTAACAGCCAGAGGTGGGGAGGGAGGGAGTCTAGGAAATTGACCTCAATGGGTAAATAGGAAAGGTACATACACAATTTGGAGTAACATTCTAAATAAAGGTGGCCCACTAATAAAATTCAAATCTCTGCATATTAGCACATCTACACAAATGTTCAAACACCATTAGCAACTAGATTTTTTAATTAACCCAAAACTGAGCAAAATATTCTCAGCAAAACAAGTAACTTTGGATCAACAAGATTTTAAAATATTACTAAAGTCTATCGTGAACTGGCTTCTTTTCAAAAAGTGTGGTAAATACCTGAGTAACAAATACTGAATGTACAAATTGGGGAAAGGAAAAAACTAGGAATTAAAACACTACTGTCAGTAACCAAAGCAATGAAAAAGGTAAGTTAGTGAGCAACTTTCTATTAACCTATATCTAAAAAACATAAATATTTCTCTAATATCACATTATTTATGTTCCTAATTATAATTTACTTTCTGAATAAAAATGAAAATATCTCCAGTTTAGTTTTTCTACATTTCAAAACTGGAAGTAAATGACTATTTGCAGTCTAGGCTAGAGCTCAGTCTGGTATTAAAAGACAATAGGGAGTAACCAGACAGACTATTGTGGTATTCAAGTTCAAATATATAAAATATACTGTGCTGGCCAAACAAAGCACTACAAGTTTCTAATGAAAGCCCTCCCTCATTTTGATTTCTGGCTTCTGAAGAAGAAATCAGCACAATAAGATATAAAAATAAAAACATTTGGGAGGGTCTCAAATGTTTGAAAGTGAGTCTGGGAAAAAAATCTAAAAACTTTAAAATATTTTCCTACCTAGTTTTCAGGTTGTTTATATCTTAAAAACCCGACCAAGTTAATAAGACCTTAAACCTTCAAAATGAACTTGGTAATCATATATTTTAAGAGATAATTACTCATTATCTGTGAATTACCCACTCTGTGTTCCATCAAAGTGGTATAGTTGCCAAATAGTGTTGATGTCTAATCAGTTGTGGAATTACAACCATCTGTACTGTTTGTACTGTAAAAGCACCTATCCAATCACATAAGTATAAGCCACTGGAAATGCTCTTTGATGCCAGGTATCACAGACACTGAATACACTTAGAATACAAGATGCTGAGTGGATTTAATAAGGTTTTATATAATACCATTACAATAACCAAACTGCAGTTATGACTATGGAGAGAAAAGAAATGAGAGCCTCTGTCCTACCCTCTCCCACTTCTATCACCTGCCCAAATGTAAGATAGCACAGCTCAATCTAGACCAGGTGAAAGAATGTATTAACATAATCCAACAAAAATGAAATAAAACAATCCAGAGTTTTTAGTGTTTTTTCACACTGTAATAAACTGGAAAAATGTTTCAATTAAGTAAAACAACCATATTCCATGAAAAAAGCCACTCCCATCATCCAGAATACTAAAGCCCTTACATAACACTAGAGAAATTTTAATTTATGTAAAACAGTAGAAACCAGTACACCATTCATTAAAAATCTCAAAATATTCAAAAGAAAGTATCAAATACTCAGAGAAAGCTCAGTAAGCCAAAACCTCTGAATCTACACATCCTGGTATTACTCTGAATTGCAATTAACTACCCACATAGTTAATCATAAATCAACTTTTTCAAAGATATACAAACAATGCATCTATTTTAAAAGGTTACTCTTTATAGTTAAGGGCTGTACATTAACTTTCACATTCTACTTGGCAATATCTATCTGTACTTCAGATTATTTCTCATGTTCCAGGAAATAAATACAAACTCATGATGCCTGTGATCACTGATGGCCTGTTTATGCAATTCCACTCCACTAAATATAATTCCATAGAATGTGCTCTTGATAATGTAAAGAACCTAATAATAACTCCTTGATGAAATACTATAATTCTCTTCTCCAATGGTTACAAGTTTTTAAAAGGTATACGAAGAACTGAGTATCACTCCTATGAAAGACAAAAAAAAAAGTCTAATTTTGTTCCAAAATTAACTTAGTCTCATGTATTTCTATTAAGTCTTTCAAGGATTCCAGAGAATCTTTTCATATCTCCATTTCTGGAAAGTGAAATCTGGAAAGTGAAACCAGTATAGAAGTAATTTGGGAACTTGAAAATGGCATTCATTTTTTCAGCAGATGCCAAATTTTTGACCGACATGGCTCCCACAATTACTTTGTTATCATCAGTCCAGTCAGTTAACAGGTTGTAGGAAAAGATTCGTTTTTTGCAGACACTGCTAAGCTGTTTAAAGAGAAGAGAGAGAGATTAATTTAGTGATTATAAAATGTACAAATATTTAAAATATTCTGAACACTTTTTGTTGGCTTATATCAGAAGTGTGACTACATTTTAAGAAACATGGACATTTTAAGTTAAGTCAGGTCAAGGAAGTGCAGAAACAGTAAGTCATTATGATAGAAATAGTAGGTCAATATGATGTGTTAGTTCAATTAATGTATGAATTCCTGTCACCATCAGAAGACGAATATTAAAAAGCTGTATCTTTAGTTTTTATCATTTTGCCATAGAGACAAAATTAGGAGGAAAAAAATGTTGCCCAAATACTAAATTGTTTTCATCTATTACAGTAAGCAGCCAAACCTGAAAATTTCAAAACAATCCATATATTCCAGAAATCACCCTTATCCAACTATTATTCATCAGAACACAATTTTCTAAAAATAGTAAGACAACAGTTTTATATTAATCATAACCTTTTTAATTAACAAGTAACGAATAGGACACTTTTAAGATATTGTTTACTACATACTGAAATAAACAGATCTGTTGTAAATTCAGAAACTCAAAACATTTACAGTAAAATGTGCTTACACATAAATATGACCAAATTTATTTAAAGCCCCTGATAGATAGGTCCTAAATACATGCAATACCATGTAAAAACAAGACCATGAAGTTGATGTAAAAAATGACAAAATCACTGAGTCACCAAAATTAGAAAAAGAAAATGAAATGGAAACTAAGGAAAGACAATTAAAACCTAAGTAACCTAACAAAGCAGCTTTAAAAATAGGTGAAACTAATCTCCACTTTCAAAAGTTCTTAATCAAGTATGTCCAAAAAACTGCCATTTATAAAATGACATTCTACAATCTACACTTGGAATTTCAAAGCATCCCAGTTCAGAAAGCTTTTGACTACTGTTTGTCCCCAGCCCAAACTTCAAATAATGCAGGAAAATCATTGACGTAAGAAGAAAATATTCCAAGGAATCATATAATTTTTAGAAAACGCACTTACTGCTTCCAGAACCTTTTAAGACCCACAGTCAACATTAACAACAATCATATTTCCTATTCTCATCCATTATTTTTCAGTGTTATATTAGAGATGAAAAAATTGTTTGAGCCCATAACTGAAAGATCAACAAACCTGATTTTATTATGACACCATATTTTTGTCATTGGTACTGCACAAAATTATATACAAAGAAATATATACAAAATGTTCAAGTATTAATTAAATTTCAATTCAAGGCTTCTGTTTCAAAAAGCTACATTTAACATATTCCATAAAGATAGCACAAATTAGTCATTTCAAATAACTTTTCCAACTACTTTTGATATATATAAATATATATTTGTATATATTTATATATATTTAAATATTTATATTTCAGTAGGCACTAAAAATCCATGCATTGTGAGAGGCTTGCTCCTGCACTTAGGTATAGGCAGGTTCATCACTCCAGGTTGTGAGTTTGGCTACTACCCATTCATGCTCAAGTGCAGTAGATGATTTTACAAAATCTGCTGTGATGCACTGGATACCAGAGACCAAGTTAGGTCTCAAATAGCATTATCTAGCAACAAAACATTTACAGTTGTGCAAGAACAAGGATTCCATTTTCATAACCAAATAACAACAAAATAGAACATTTTGTGTGTAAGATAACTTACATCTTTGGACTGCTGGAAAATACTTTTTAATTATGAACATTTTAAAGACAGCAGAAGCCCTGATATTACCTCTTTTTCCTCATTCTTATACTACCTTTTAAAATAAAGCAGGAAATGTGGCCAGCAGCTGGTCCCGTCTCTTCTGCCCCAACAGCTGTATCCACTTTAGCACAAAGAAAAACAAGGATGCTAAATAGGTATATACTTTATCAAACAGTGATGTTTCACAAAGAATTTCTTAATGCCTCTTACACCAAAGGCCACTGTAACTCAATATATACAACTGGACAATAGATAAGAGTACTTCAAGGGAAGAATGTATCCCATCTTTGGAAAAAGAGTCAATCATGTCATTAAGTAGCCAGAACCACTCAATTTCTAAAATTATTTTTAGATAGGACAAATACCCTTTAAATACAGAAAATAAGAAAATAAGATTCTTTGTGAAGCCTCACTTTACATGTTTTCATTCATATTTCACAACCTTCAAAATCTAATCATACATAAATTTAACCTAAAATTTTAATACAACAAAAATAAAGGTGTTCAACAATGTATTTATACTCAGTGACAGGGTAGTATCACTGTGCTGGTTCTCAAAGAAACATTCCATTAACCATTCTTATTCCTCCTTCAAGTAACTAACACATGAGTCTGATATGCATGTTAATTTCCAATTTCTGTAATGGTGAGATATTAAAATCTATTAATCTGAATATTGTATTTCTGTATCTTCTACTTAAAACTAAAAGGCATTCTTGAGTATTTAAGAGTTATTTCGCTGTCACTTCCAGCAAAATAACTATCACATTTGTGCATGCCCCAAACATTTATTGTCAACCTCTGAAAAGTTGTTCTAAAAATTGGAATTCCAATTTGCACCTCGTACAACTCGGAACTTCCATTCAACTTCACCTGTTTGACTGTCTCCAAACTGTATCTCAATTAGCAGCTTTCAGTGTACAGTTGGAATCGATGTCATCCAAGGCCATGTCCACACTGGGGACAGAAGAGCTAGGTACACGCAAGTCTGAACAAGGGGACACATTAACAGCTATTTCAACCATAAGAAGCATCTCAAATACATTACTGACCAGCACAAGTCTGTTTCCAGGGTGGACAGGGCCCAAATTAGATTCCCCTCCCACCTTCCAAAAAAGAAAAAATAATAATCACACACACACAAAATTGAGATGTTGCCCATTAAAGTAGACTAAGCAGCAGAGCATGAGCGTTACGTGAAGAGATGGATCCTTACCAGGTTGTGAGGCGGGAACGACTGTTCTGTAACCCCTACAACGGAGCCTGGCAGGAAGGAAATCACCTAAAAAAGAAACTGTCAGAGAGATTTAATAGTCACATGTTATCATTGGGAGTTGGTTACAGTGTCACATTCATGCTTTTAGCTAAACACTTAAAAGATTCAATATTACTTTTTTTTTCCTCCTGAAATGTGTCCAGTGAAGATGTCCCACTAAGGTGTTTTACATGGTGTAAGGGAGTTGAAAGGGGTAAACGCGGATAAAGAGCAGATTACTTGACCCTACATTTTAAGAGAAGACGACGCCTTCCGGGCGCACGCCGAGCAGAACTCCACCGACACCTTATCCTTGTCCACATGAAGACACACTCCTCCCGCTGAGTCGTCCTCTTCCAGCAGGTCCTGCTGCTGCTTTCCCACCGGCAACGCGTAGTCATGGTCACCGGCGGGCGAGTCTCTGAAGAGTGAGGTGGTCAGCCGCAGTCCCACGCCGCTCAGCCGGCTCAGCAAGCGAGCCAGTCCGGTCTCGTTGGCTAAGACAGCCCGTAGGTAGCGACTCTCCTCCTGCAATGCTTGCACGCGCTTGCCCAGCTCCCGATTCTCGACCCGCAGCTCCTGGTTCTCGGCTGCCAAGGCCCGGACTCGACTCTCCAGCCCCATCACGTACTCCTTTTTCTTCAGTCGATTAAGACGGGCAGCAGCCGCCGCCGCCTTCCGAGGACTCTTTGTCGCCGCCTGGGTGTTGTCATTGCCGCTGCCGCCGCCGCCGACACCTCCTCCAGGGGACTTTCTCCGCCTCTTTTCGCCGCCGCCACTGTCACTGCCGCTGCTGCAGCCTCCGATACCATTTAACAGCCTCTGCAGCAGGTCAGAAAAGCGCTGCATCTCGGCAGCCGCAGACTCGTCGTCGTCATCCCCTCTCCAGAGGCCACCGCTATCCGAGCCTCCGCCGGAAGACGAGAGGGGGCCCGGCGAGCTGAGCCCGGGTTCCAGGTGCCAGTCCGGCTGTCGGGGGTCCAGCAGATCTGCCAGTTCCAGCCCGGACAGAAAGTCCATGTCCTCCGTCTCCTCCCCGGGGACGTTGGCAACCGCCTCCTCCTCCATCTCCTCTGGCGAGGGCGCGCGCACCGCTACGCCGCCGCGGCCCCCCCTCCCTTCCTCCACCTCGCCCTGGTCTCCGCGCCGCTGCTTACGGCCAAGAGATCCGAAGGCCGCCGCCGTCTCTTCGTCCTTGGCCGCTGGTGTCACCCGGGTCAAGTCCGGGGGCAGAGAGCAGGGGGCGGCCTGCGCAGGGCTGTCGCTACGGGTTGGGGAGTCGGTGCCGGAGGCCGCCAGCAGTTTGGTAAGGATGTGCCTCATGGAGTCCAGCGGCGGGCCCACGTAGGCCCCAGCCTCCCAGACCGGGCCTCGCGGGCCCCAGAGACCCCAGGCCCCAGCGCGGGTAACCGGTGAGCCGACCAGAACGAAATTAAGGGGAAGGGCCGAGTCGCCTCCCCCGGCACTTGGCTGGCCTACGCTCCGCACCCAAGCTGGGGTGCAAAGGGAGATCCGGACAACGAGGCGCCGCGATGACTCGACCGCGCCACCAAGACAACGGCCTAGGCGGAAGTCAGTCGTCTCGACCCAGCCCCTCCTACGGCGTTTCGCGCTCCACCTGGCTCTAGTATCGCGAGAGTTCAGGAAGGTCTGGAATGGGAGTTCTTCCAGCTCTCCAGTGATATCGTGGTAACAGCCTCAAAACTAACAACAAAACCCCGAGGTGATTGAAAAAATTATCTGCCCTCTCTGCCTTCACTTCTCAGCTCTGCATTCTATCCCACTTCCAATGCAACCACTCTCGCTCAGAAACGACCTTTCAGATACCAACTTCTGAATAAATTTAAAGTTATCCTGGATTTCTTTGGAATTTAAGACTGGTGACCAGATCCCTCTTGAAATTGCTCCTTTCCCCTTTCGCTATACTACAAGATCTTTTCATTCCAACACTTAGAGCACTAGGAAAAAAAAGGGCGGGTAAATAAATCATTCATATACAGTTGAATTTTCCAACTTTTTCTTATAAAAACTTCCAAACATATAGAATATAGTACAGATTTCACTCTAATTCAACCCAATACCCAGACTCAACAATTCAGCAATTAACGTCTTGCCATATGTGCTTTACCTGCATATAAGTGTTTGTAAAAACATTATTTTTTTCTGAATCATCCCAAAATTGCAGACAAGACACACCACCCCAACATACTTCACTATGCCTCTCTAAATATAAGGACATTCTCTTTTATAATCAGAACACTATTATCAGGTCTTGAGAAAACAATTATTTGGTAATACTATTACCGAGGCCTATTCAAATTTCCTCAAATTTCCTCAGAATAATTTTTTATTTGGATATTTTCTTTTGAGCCAGGATCCAAATAAGAATCACTATATTTGGTTGCTATGTTCTCAAACTAGATTAGTCCCTTTTACTTTTTAGTTTTTCTTCATATTGGTGTTTTGAAGAGACAAGGTCATTTCTTTGGAAAAATTCACCACATTCTCAATTTGTTTCCTCATAGTGTTATATTTGTTCCTTTAATCCCACAAGGTATTTGAGATTGGAAGCAGGTGACAAATACATTAGAAACAAAACAATTCAAACTTTTAATAAGCGAGATCAGTGAAAATATAGATGAAATAGGAAAATAAGGATTTCCAAAAGAGGGAAAGGTTAGTTCAGAAAAACAGATAAATTGAGGTAACAATAGATTAAGTTTCCTGGCAGCCCAAACAAAAAACAGAGAGAGAGGGAGGCACAGAGAGAAGCAAACTTCCCTTTGTTTATACATGAGTAAAATAAACAGTGTATGTATTCTTTAACCACTTTTCAAGTTCTTAGGTTTTAAACTTCTTTAGGGAATATTGAATAAAGCAGCAATTAACCTCAACACTAACTACTTTTATTTATGTGGCTGTTTCTTAGAAGGATAGAAAGCAAGTTCAATGAAAACTGGACATTCATTGATAGGTCCTAAACATCCAGATCAGTCCCTAGCACAGCTTAGATTTCAATAAATATTTGTCAAATAATTGAATAAAGGAGTGCTCCAGTTTTGGCTGAAGGCATAGTATTAAAGGCCAACTAATGAAAACAATTCTGCCAGGGGCAAAATGACTATGATCTTCGGTATCTAGAAGAATAAGTAAATGGCCTCCATGTCCCTTTTAACCTTTCCACTAGGAAAAGCTTGTGTTAAAGTAGGATACTGAAAAGTTCAAGGTGACATATGTTCTGACCTGCCTTGAGTTACAGATGTTTTCTGTGGCTGCTAATCCCATCCAACTGCATTTTCTCCTTAACAAAAATTCAAAATCATGGATTAATTTATTATATTTTTCCCTAATTATAAGATTTTGGTTTAAATATGCATTCCTTAAGAGCCTCTCCAGTTGGACTATAACAAGTAGAAAACAGAAAGAGTAGAAAATTTTTACAAGGTAGCCTCAAAATACAAAAAAGCAAGTGAAGCAAGAGTACACCTCCCAGAAAACAGTTCTTCTACCCCTTTTGCCATTCATCCTTTTTCTTCTCCTTACTCTTCTCAGTCTTGATTTCTTCCAGCTGTTTTATTTTTCTTTTTCTAGTTAATAATGATCATTGCAAAAAATTCAGAAATGTATTAAAAGTAGACAGATATTACCCACAATCTAACTACCCCAAAATAACTGTTATTAAAATTTTGGTATGTATCTAAAGAGATCTATGCACATACACATATTGTTTTGTTATATTTCTTTGAATTCTACTGTTTTGATATGAATATATTATGGACTTCTTCATGCAACTAAATGTAGATCCACATGCTTATTTTTGATGACTGTCTAGAATTCCATTTCTGGAACTTTACAACTTATTCACTGGGAACTCTTGCCCTAACTAAAGATGGCAGCTAAAAAAAGGGTAAAAGACACTGGGGAACTGACAAAAAAACAAACAAACAAACAAAACTCAGACACTAATGCATTATAGGAAGGACCAGGTATGAAATAACATAGGAAGTTCCATACCAAGTATTTAAATTAGGGTTGGCTGAAGGTCAGAAGGAAAAAGAGCCACAAGGTCTGCAGTGAGAGAGGAGGTCTGCCTGAAGAAGATGGTGACAGAGCTAATGGAGCTACACGGACCTGCCCAGCCACCCAGGCTCATGAAAAATGCTTGAAGCTGAACTGTGACCAGGACTGCTGAGTGGCAGACTTCTTCTCTGAAGGACATACAGAGAAGCCACTCTCTTGGGACGTGTGCTTCCCTGGAGTCCAACATAATCCAGTGTAACATGCCACATATTTTCCTGAACCATTACACGGAGGCTAAGAACAGTGCACCCAAAATCCTATAGAAAAAAAGCTGCTGCAAAAGGAAGATGACTCTAAAGCCCACAAGTGCACATTCCAAAAAGGATGGAAATGTTTGCATAACCAGCCAATGAATAAATAAAAATATGGGAAACTTCTGGGCATGTTTTGGCTTGTAGCATTTTGGAAAGCGAGCGAAGTTCTGGGTCTCATGGAAAAGGAGGGCTCTAAGCAGAAGTGCTGTTGGCACCTCCAAGATTGGAACTGTTAATTAAAGCCTGTTTTCTTCAACACTAACTGTTGGGTCATATGTGAAGGCACCAGGTACCAGTTTGCTCAGTAACAGTATTACAAACCACACAATAATGCTGTGCAAATATATTGGTTCACTTATTCTATAACTTCCTTAGAATAAATTCTTTGAACTAGATTTTCTATACAAAATATTTATACATAGACTCTATTACCTATGAAAAGGTATGTCTCACCAATGGTGCATGACAGTATTTAGTTCCAGCACATGCAATGACAGTTGATTTGTTCTTTTAAAATGTGCCAATCAAAAACAAAAAGTGCATATTTTCATGTGAATTTGCATTTCTTTTATTATGAGAATGTTAATGTTTTTCATATACTGATTGATTTTTAATATGAACAACCTTTTCACCTCCTTAGTCCATTTTTCTTTGAGGAAGGAAAGGACATCTGTCAGGAAAAATGTTTGTCTTTTTCCTTCTTGATTTAGATGAAGTTCTGCATTATAAGGAAAACATACCTTTGTCCCATATATATTTTCACCCAGTTGATTATTTATTGGGGGTTGGAAGGGCTAAAATTGCTTGTTTTGCTATGATTATTAAATACTCAATCATCAAATTTTTCTTCATGGGTTCTGGCTTTAATATTAAGCCTAAGAAGTCTTTATTAACCTAAATAATACTAATATTTTCCTGTATGTTTTAGAACTTCTTTAATTCTATTTATATTTTACTGAGTGTTTTTTATCAGCATAAGTGACATATTTCATTTTGATCCAAATGGAATTTATTCTGGTATAAAATGTGGCATAGGAATATAGTTTTCCAAAATGGGATCTGCCACAATAAAATTTATTGAACAATTCATACTTGTTCCTCTTGTTTTTCAACATGTATCCTATATGTCAAATTCATACATGTAGTTGGATCTATTTCTGCTCTTTTTCTTCTGGGTAATTGATCAATCTCATCATTCTGGAAGCAAAATCATTCCATTTTAACTGCAGCTTTATAAAATATCTCATAGGACAAGTCCTTTGTTTTATTTTCTCAGATTTTTTAATCAACAGATTAATATTTATTCTTCCAGATAACTTCATAAATTTTTTAAGTTCAAAAAAAATTGAAATTTTTATAAAAATTGCATTAGGTTTATTAATTTATCCTTCCCCGTTATTTAATGCATAATTTGTTACTGGACTAGATTATCTCTCCTTTTATATTTTCTGCATGGTTATTGTTGCTATGTAGGAAAACTACTGATCTTTTTTTGTTAAATTTTTAACTGACTAGCCCATTGAAATTTCTTAATAGTTTTTATTTTCAGCTTATTCATTCAAATTTTCCTGGTAGACAATTATATCACCTTATTATATATAAGGATAATTTTGCCTCCTTTGCAATACAATAATGAAATAACACTTCCAGACTGATGTTAAATGATACTGTTGATAGCCAATTTCCTTGTCTTATGTCTTACTTTAACAGGAATGCCTCTAGTGTCTGGCTATTGATTTGAGAGGAATATTTTTATTAGGTTAAGTTCAGTTGCAGAAAACAGATACCAATCCAACTATTTTAAGCAGAAAAAGATGGAATACAGAGAATGCATGCTTACAAAGTCGTTGAAACGATGGGAGGAGTGGGCATTAGACTGGGTGATCAAGAATACCACTCAGTACAATGCAGCCAAACAGGCCTGATAAAAAAATGTTATCTCTGCCCCAGATGGGTAAGTGTTGGCTTCAAGGATACAGCTGCTGCCAAAACTCTCAACTCCATATATTATATTGCTGCCTAACAAGATACCCAAAACCTTAAAACAACAATAAACATTTACTCTCTCTCACAGGTCAGAAACATGTAATTGCCTTGGCTATACAGTCTGGCTCCAGAATTCTCATGAAACTTAGTCAGATTTTGACTTGGGCTGTAGTCATCTGAAGGCTCAACACAGACTGGAAGGTCCACTTCCAAGGTGGCTGACAGGTTTGTCCTGGGGGACACCTCAGTACTCCCTCCATGTGGGCCTCTCTACAAGCTGTAGTGAGCCTCTACACTACATGGTGGCTGGCTTCCCCTAGAGAGAATGATCCAAGAGACCAAGGAAGCAGCAGCAATGTTTTTTATGACCCAGCCTCAGAAGTCACATAAATCAATCAATCACTTCCGTGATATTCTATGAGTCACAAGTAAGACTTTATTCACCGTGGAAGGGGACCACACAAGAATGGGGGTACCAGGAGACAAGAGACAAGAATTATTAGGTGCTATCTTGGGGATTGGCTACCATATCCCATAAAACCAGCAAATGCTCATTGGAATGCTATTGCAGAAAAATGTCTCCAAAAATGTGCTTGGCAGCAACAGCCAAAGCAAAGGAAAAGGTCTCCTGACTCATTTACATCTTCCAAATATAACTGCAGAAGAGTCTGCAAATACAGTTTGCTTAGTGTTTCTTTGTTTTAGCTTTTCCATTTCTGTAATACAGAAAAGCACATTAAAAGAGGGACTAGAATAGATGATGAATACAAATCTATCAAATTCTGCACAAAGACCATGACTGTATGGTACTTCAACACCAATATATACATTTATGAATTTTCTATAGCAGAGAGTTGGAGCAGAGATGGTAGGAAATGAAGCTGAATCAGGGCTGGTGCTTTGCTGAGCAGATCCAGCAGAATGGCACAAGTTCTACAGGGGACAGAGTGCTCTCTTTTTTAAAAGTAAAACTGTTATAGGTTTAGACTGATATTTGCAACTCAAATTTAAGATTAAATGATTTTTACTTTACTTTTTAATATCTTAATTTATACACTGAAAATTTCATCTCAAAAAACATTAACAATCATTTTTTTGCTTTAACCTCTCTCATTCTCTTGTTATGTGTATGTATGTATATATACATATATAATATACTTTAAAAATAGTTTTAAAGTATAATATAGCAGTTTTAAAAGAATACCAATATAAAAACTAACCATAAAACTAATCAATGATAATCAATGAAATTACTAAGATTTCTTCGTGATTCTAATTCTTTTTGGAATATATTATATTACGGATATTCATTTAAAATGCTGTTTTCTAGAGTCGTTTGCATAATTATTTTCTCTTTATGGTTATATCAATGTGAAATTCATAAGGTGTCTTGATCATATCTCTTACTGAAAGTTTTTGCTCTCTGATTTCCTCTTCACTCAGTAAGATCTTAGTTAAGGTCACCCAGTAAGTGACAAGATTTGAATTCAGACAGTCTCGTGCCAATGCGTGCATTCACTCACGGCTCTAATACTTTGACTAGTTCAGAGATCATGGACCTGGGTTTCCAAAGGGCCTAGTAGTAATGCATTTGAGTAGGGATGGGGTGAGGGGAGGATTGAGCCAGATTATAAAGGCTCACACTTCTGACTGGGACGAAGGTAAATATGGATGTGAGCAAAGTGGAATTAATCTGGCCACAGAGTCTTATATTAGAGTCTACCATGACTACTTATTCTGCATGCTGGATGATGTGGCTATTGGGAGAGGCAGTTTTCTTTTTGGGATTTAAATACATTTTAAATTTTTATTTTTAATTCATTTTTTTATTTGCATTCCGAAGGGGTAGGGTTGAGGGAGGTGGGGATGGCTCCGGTGGGAGGGAGTGGTGGGGGAAGAAAAGGAAAGGCAGTTGTCTTATCAGGAACAGGAAGTGTTGTGAAGGCTTCTGAGCTACTGTACTCTCAGGCTTTCTTCATCTCTTCTCTTGGATGATTCTTACACATTCTACAGACTTTAGCTTAAATGCCACTTCTAGGTAAAGCTTTCCCTGACCTCCCTGACATTATGTTGTAAAACCCTGCTATGCCCTCCCATGTGATCCCATCTTTCAGCATTTTTCTTACTCACTGGGATGCAAATTCAGTGAGGATAAGATCTCTGTCTGCTCACGTTGTATCCCAGAATTTAGCAATAGTATGCTCTTATAAGTATTTGTTAAATTGATAAGCTATAATAAATGAATGAGTTATTAATTAAAACTGAAAGATCAGAATGGCTTGGTCTGCCCTACCTTTACCATCTTTTGTTTACCTGTTAGGCTGAAACCAAAAACCAACTCCCAAAGTCTAAAAACTGGAAATGAGAAAACAGGCTTTCTAAAATTTAAAATTTAGTTCTCACACAAACATGTGAAAATCCATGAGAAAAGTTGTGTATATTTAAATGTTAAAATTTGGGAGAAAAATAGTAATCACTAGGAGGCACTCCTAAGAGTAGAAAAAGATTTTGTCATGAGCCATATGTTGTTGAACATTTGTGAAAGTGGAAGCTTCCAGCTCAATGGCCTGACCCAGATATGTCAGGACACATTTGGCTCTACATAAAATAGGTTTTGTCAACTCAATTCTTGGAGAAAGAAAAATTTGTAGGCTTTTTGAGGTCCTCTACTCAGAGCTTACTAGGAAGTTAAGCAGTTATGTGCCAGATTCTTTTATTTCTGTTTTTATTATCTTTTTAAATAAGTAATACATGCATGTGGTTCAAAAGTCAAATGATATAAAATTGTATACACTGAGAAGTTTCCTTTCCATCCTATCTATCCCTAACCACGGTAGTCCCAAACCCCTCCACACCACTAATAACCACTTTATTAGTATTTATTTTTCTCAATATGTATTTATGCAAGTAGGAATAAATATATTCATTTTCTTATTTCCCTTTCTGCCTCTCCACACTTACACAAAAAATAGTATACTACAGATATTATTTGCATCTTGTTTTTTTCCCCTCTGTATATCCTGGAGATATTTCTATAGTACTATATAAAGAGCCTCTCTCTCTTTTCTTTCTTATTTCTTCCTTCCTTTTCTTCATTTACAACATATTCCAAGGTATGAAGGGCCCACAGTTTAATCACCTCCTTATTGATGACATATAGCCTGTTTTCAATTTTTTATTATTACAAACAGTGACATTTTAGACCAGTACAAATCAAAGTAGGTTAGAGCATTAAATAGCAACAGTCTGGCAAATAGCTGAGTGAGTCCCTTTGTGAAACTGGAGAATGAGGGGCCTGGGGAAGGGGCCACCATAGTCAGTTAAATGTGCATTGAATGACCAGGGAAATCTGTCCAAAAGGAACTTTTTTCTTGGGCTTTTTCCAAGTGAGATAAACAGAATGTCTGGAGAGAACAGCATGAAGCAGAGAGGTGCATCTGTACAATTCTAAGCTCTTAAATTTAATAAGATGTTTTTACCCTGGCTGGCGTAGCTCAGTGGATTGAGCGTGGGCTGGGAACCAAAGTGTCCCAGGTTCGATTCCCAGCCAGGGTACATTCCTGGGTTGCAGGCCATGACCCCCAGCAACCGCACATTGATGTTTCTCTCTCTCTCTCTCCCTCTCTCTCCCCCTCCCTTCCCTCTCTAAAAAGATGTTTTAGTGTTTGGAAAATAACCTCGTTTGTCTTTAGGGAGATGGAAAAATAATTACATGTCCATTCTTGGCCACTTCCCAAAATCCCTACAATGTAGGAGGCCAAGTTTAAAAAAAAAAAGGACTCCCAGCCTGATAAGGCCGTGTCAATGTAACTAGGTGTGTTACAACAGACACTGTTGGCAGCCAACCCTGCCTTCATCAGAGAGCCCCTTCTACTCTGTGGCATAGGCTGGCCTTGTTCCAATCCAGGGGCAGATCCTGACTGGCCCAGGTTAGTCATGGTGGCAACAGTCCCCATGAAGATGCTTGGTTGAGGTGTTTGCATATGGCCCAATGTTGGCCAATGACAATGGAAGACAGGTCACCTGGAGGAGCAGGGGCAGCTTTGGGAGAACAGTTAGGGCCATGGT